TGGTTTCCTGTGTCAGAACTGATGTCTCATGATTCCAGTGAATGATGTCAGGGCAGTAGAAGTTCAAGAAAGCAAAGTTTTTTGAGAAGTAAAGTAATTTCTTCCCATAGCAAGGAGGGGTCTCAAAGATGAGTTGCCAAGTAGCACTTTGGAGGAGATGTTCTTTGAAATCCAGGGAAGTGTATTGTATGGTCTTACCTGCATGTGAGTTAGAATTTAGCTAGAATGAACCTGATTTCTTGACTTCTTTTAGAAATTTAATTAAGTATGTGTGTGTGTTTTGGTGGGGGGTGGTGATTACATGCATATGAGTGCAATTGCCTGTGGAGGCCAGGAGAGGGTGTTGGGTTCCCTAGAGATGGAGTTACAGGTAGCTCTGAATAGCATACAGTAGGTGCTAGGAAGCAACCCAGGTACCTCTATAAGAGTAATAAGAGCTCTGGACTAGATCTTGGTTGGTTCATTTTTACATATGTTGGGAATTCTGACTGGTTGACAGATTAGGTAAAAGCGTGCCAAAAAGTTCCAAAGGAGTTGGGGTGAAAGGACAAGGCAGTCAAAATACCAAAGGCTTCTGACTCATGGACATTTTAATGAGTTGGGATATTTGGGATTAGGGTTCCATAGCTTCCACGGTGTAGAGTCTATTGTAAAGAGCTGGTATTCTTAGAACCGAAGCAGGACATACAGACATTTTGTTTTCCTTAGGCCTGAAACCCTGGCTAACTGTAGATAGAATGGTGGCAACCTTACTCCTAATTACATCTGTCAATACATTTGTTTGCCAAATCAAGCCACAAGGCCATTCTAGATTCAGGACTATGAAGAGCATTGTCCATATTTTGACTGGACAATCTGTAAAGCTACACTGCAAAAGCACTTCGTTGAGTGAGGAGTGGTGAATGAAGTCATCTTTGCAATCAATCTGCCACAGTATTTTTCTGCACATATACATGTATATCGCAAACATATTTTGGAATAAATTAAGTGGATGTGTTGAAATAGATGAGACATATCTGAATTTCAAAAATGTCATTAAAACAGATTATTTCTATAATATGTGTGGAAAAGATGTCAGCACACTGACATTTCGGGTTAAGATAATAATTAGGCAGCCTTGTGATATGTTAAATGGACATATTCAAACATGCTTATTTATAAAAGAGTGTCAACTTAAAGAGACAGTTCTGGTAGCAGCACATAAGGATTTTTTCTCAGCTCTGTTCAGTTTAATATTTAGCACCATTTATCAATGACTTGTATGAAAACATGATTACTCAAATAAATGTTGACATGAAGCTGGAGGGAACAGATAGTATTCTGTATAAAAGTATGATTTTTAGAAAAATGCTCTCAACCAGATGAAAGAAGATGAAATCAAATGCATTAATTTTACATGGATAGATGTAAAGTACGAGGATAAATTAAAAATCCCCAAATGTCAGGCTTCATGACAGAATACTTGCCTAGCATGAGTGAGCTTTTGAGTTTGATTTTCAGGATTGAACAAAAAAATCCTCAAAGACTGGCTATTGGTAGGTTTGGTTGGGTGAGCATTGTAATGGAGAAGAATCTGTGCGTTTTGCATTCCGACCTTGGTAGCTGTAGCTCACATTCTATAAAACAGAGTATATTCTAAAATAATGCTTTTTTGCACTTCTGTGTTCACTTATGGAATCACTTATGTTTAAGTTGTTATAACAAGCAGTAAAACACATACCATGATCTCGTTATTTTGATTTTCAGTTAGGTTCCCAGTGCCGTTGGAAGGTCAGTTTCCTTGAGCATGCAAATGCTCACCTATCAGGGGAAGTGAATTAAAAGTAGGTAACTTTGTGGGTCAACTAGCAGGTGTTGCTTGTGTTGTTACAGTCTCTTGTTATAATATAATAAATAAATGCATTGTAAGCATAAGGAACTGAGCCTGTATTTCATGAACCCGTATAAAAAGTCAGATGAGGTGATACAAGCATGGAACGCCAGCACTGAGCTGGGCATGCAGGGACAGATCAGAGGATCCCTGAGGTTCACTGGCGAGCCCTTCTGACAAAAACCAATGAGTTTCAAGTTTAATGAAAGACACTGTCTCAAAATAAAAGTAGATAATAACTCAAGAGTGATATCCTATAACTGCTTCTATCCTCCACAAGCTGGGCACATACCCACACTAGAAAGTACATAGATAACATGAATAAATATATAATGTAACTACACACACGCAAAGCACGCACACACACACACACACACACACACACACACACACACACACACACCATGAAGTTGATAACAAAGTTACATTTACTATCAAATATTAAAACAAGATAAATAGTTAAACAATAAACACAATAGTAAAGCTTTTAAACCACTATAATGAGTGATTTTTAAGTATCTTCAGTTACATTTTATATAAAAATGAGGCAATGTGATTAGACATAATCAGAAAATATGTGGAACTAATATTTTATTTTATTTAAAAGTTTTTTTTATTTCATTTTGCATACCAACCACAGTTCCCCTTCCCTTCCCTCCTCCTGCTACCCCCCCACTCCCCCCCTCATCCTCCATCCACTTCTCAGAAAGGGTAAGGCCTCCCACGGAGACATGAGGAGTCCACAAGGTATGGCACATCAAATTGAGGCACGCCCCAGCCCCTCCCCCCTGCATCAAGGCTGAGCAATGTATCCCACCATAGGGAGTGGGAGCCAAAAAAGCCAGTTCATGCATGAGGAATAGATCCTGGTCCCACTGCCAGGAGCCCCAAAAGTAGACTGAGCCATGCAACTGTCACCCATATTCAGAGGGCCTGGTTCGGTCCCCTACAGGTTCTCCAGCAGTCCATCCAGAGTCCGTGAGTTCCCACTAGCTCTGGTTAGCTGTCTTTGTGGGTTTGCCATCATTACCTTGACACACACACACACACACACACACACACACACCACCTTGCCTGTGCAAATCCTCCTCTCTCTCTTCAACTGGACTCTAGGTGCTCAGTCCCCAGCCTAGCTGTGGATCTCTGCATCTGTTTCCATCAGTCTCTCAATGAAGACTCTATGATGACATCTGGGGTAGTCACCAATCTGATTACAGGGAAAGGTCTGTCTAGGCAACTTCTCCACTATTGCTAGGAGTCTTAGCTGGCGTCATCCTTGTGGATTTCTAGCAATTTTCCTAGCACCAGGTTTCCCCCTAAACCCATAATGGCTCCTTCTATCAAGATACCTCTTTCTTTGCTCTCCCTCTGTGTCTCTCCCACTACTTGACCATCCTGTTCCCTCATGCTCTCATTCCCCATTCCCTCCCCTTTCCTCCACCCCTCCCAGTTTACCCAGGAGATCTTATCTATTTCCCCTCTAGGGCCTTTAATGGGTGAGGTAACACAGAACCAGAAAGACAAACATGATATGTACTCACTTCCTGTAAGTGGATATTAGATGTAAAGCAAAGGATAATCAGACTACAATCCACACCCCCAGAGAAACTAGGTAACAAGGAAGACCCTAAATGGGATAGGTGAGGAACTAATAGTTTTAATTTAAATAAAAGATTGGAGTCTGATTTCTTCTTAGAATGTAGGAAGCACAATATAGCATAACTTCATCAGTACAGTCTATAAAGTGATTATTTTTCCTGAATACATTTTATTTGATGAAAGTTTAAGGAAATCGTGTTAGAAGCTTTCTGATACTTGAAGCATATGAGAATCATTTAAAAATGACACACTTGGTTCCTGAAGAATTTTTTCAAGCTCTGAGCCCCCTGGACTATCTCATATTGAGTCTGAAGACTGATACTGGGAAACCCCTGACTCCTAGCAGAGGTTGGCAAGCAACAAGGATCAAGCAATTCCAGAATATTGCTCAGGCAAAGACACACAGAAGGGCAAGAGCTGTAAGGGTGCATATAAAAAGAGAACCTGAGACTACGTAGATTAGAGAGACGACTCAGTCCATAAGACAGTTTAAGAAAATGCAGGAGTACCTGGATTCATATGCCCAGCCACACAATGCAGCATTTGGGCACAAGAGTATGCACCTGTAATACTGGAAAGGGAGACACTTGAGAATATGGGGACTCATTCGCCAGCCATGCTTGTTGAAATGTGAATGCATGTTCAGTGAGGGATCCTGTCACACAAAAAAATGAGAAAAATGGTTGAGAAGATACCAGTGTTGACCTCTGGCTTCTACAGATGCTCATCCTCCTACCCCCCCCACTCCCCACCCTACCAACACACACACACACACACACACACACACACACACACACACACACACACACACACACACAAAAGAAAGACTTAAATATGAACAGCAAGAAGAAATTCAAGAAAACCTTCAAGCCCAGCATGAACACACAAATATAGGAAATCTCACGGGATGATGGAATTGGAGCAAATACTGAAATGAAAGCAAGCACCTCCAGAAACCCATGTCTGAAAAGGAATGGGCTGGAGAGAAGACTAAGGGGTAGTTTCACAAAGTCCTGTAGCTCCAACTCCATGGGTATCCATCACTTTTCCCCCAGAGGCTTAGGAATTCATAATCATATGCCCACATGTAGATCTGTAGACATAAACATAATTTAAAATCATAAAAATTAAATCTAAAATTAGTATTCCATAAGAATGATTTAACTTAAAAGCTAGCAGCCCCAAAAATGAAGCCTAGAATATGAGTTACCACCTTCCATATGATTTTAAACCTATGCATATCCATTATGAAACACTCATGTGTTGTCATATCATGGATCATCCCCCCAAATAAACTCCAACTAAATAAAGCAATATAATAAAAGAGGCAATTATCTGATCAAAATTCATTCAATTAGAAATTAACAACTGAGAAGTCTGAATATTTTTCAAACGTTTGTAAAACACCACATCTCTAAATACCACCAAATGAATTAAAGATAAAGTAGATAAAGGCTAAAAAACAAATGAAAGCCTCAAACAAACAAACAAAGAACTCCAAACAGCAAAACACTTTTTGTATTTCCATTAGGCTTTCCTTGGTGGATATATGCAGTACACAGAGCATCTATGTGCATCATGGAGTCCTCAGACAACACACCCAGCATACATGATCACTGAAGCCAGAGAGGTAAGAGTCATGATAACCAGAGCCAATTCCAGTTAGCTTCAGCAAGGCAGTGTAATCTGGCTAGTTAATGCTTTGGTGAAGGTAGTGTAGAGTTTAGTTTTATAATATTTCAATGATAGATAACGTAACTTACAGTATGCACATGTACAGTAAGTCATGATACAGTGAATTGGAATTAAAGCACAATCCAAAATCTATAAGGAACAGCAGTATGAAAATTCTAGTGTATTTTTCAGTAAAATGATCATATAATTTGTTTCAAAAAAGTTATTAGTTTTGTTTTTATTTTATTTAAATTTCCTGTTGTTGCAATTATCCTTTTAATTGAGTGTATATGTATCTTGTGCTAAAGTTCCTTATACAACAGCGTTTAAAATATTTTGAAGCATTAGAAACTTCCTACCATATTATATCATGTCAGAAATTTTAATTTACTATTGGAAAAGAGTATTCTCTTTTTTATTGTTAAAACTACATTTAATTTCAAGCATTTTAAATTTAGCACCCAGATGTGGTAACCACCAAAATACTGCAAGTTTACACTGTTTGCTATTTCTGTCAAATTAGATGAATGACTTTCCTATAAATGTAGAAACTTTCTAGCTTATAATTATTTCAGCAAAACAGCTACTCATTCAAGTCTGCACAAAGAATTTTACAGTTTTGTATTTTCTTTTCCAGAACTTTCAACTCTAAGATGATCACAGGTTAGCCCTTTTTTGTTTCAAGCTAGAATTTCACTCAAATGGTGTCATCCTCAACTCAGTCTTCACAACCTGCACAAAGGCTTTCTAAATTCTATTTCACAAGTCTATCTCCTTAAATTCATTATGAATGATCTAGTAAATGGAGCCTATGAGTTTCAGAATGGACTAAACATCTAAAGCCTGCCCTCCGAATTAGCACATGACCAGTCTCTCGTTCCTCTGCCCAGTGTGCAGCTGACAAGAAGCAGAACCTTTGACAGCGATGTGTGTGTGTGGCCAATGGTTTCATGGAAAATTGGAGAAGAGAGAGCTGTGTTTGTACTGTCTAGCAAGTGATTTTACATCAGCCAGCTTTTCTTAATAAAGGGTAACTTGAACCACAAATTGAAGGAGCAAACATAATGATCAAAACCATTTTATAGTAAGTGCTATTGTCTTTGTCTCACTGTTAGGCTTCCTAACAAGGACCACACAAGTTTCATGGAAAGACAATTGTGAGAATCAACAGCCCTCTGTGCACAGCAGAGTACAGATATCATGCAAGGTCTTGGATTAGGTCATTCTTCGTTTTTCTACAAATTGAAAAGGCATGCTAAATTTCTGTGATTAACACTAAATTCATCCATCTCAACAGTACTTCTCTTGTAGCATCTTGGTAATGCTTTAAGTGTCTCTAAAGTTACAGCAAAATAGGCAGAATAGACTTTTCACTCTCTAGCCAAACTGAAGATCTTTGAGAAAAAAGAAAAAAGAAACATCCAACGTAAAGCAAGTATAGAGAACATTGTGTAATTGTAGGTATTGATTATGTACTGATTTTGTAACATTTTCTGCTTTTCTTCCTTTAACCAAATAAATAGCCACAGAGTTCTCTTTACATCTGTCAGATCATTGTTTCTTAGAAAATCAAGTCTTTCATGATTTAGATAAAGTCTTGAATATCCTTTATAGTTAAAAAAAAATCATGGGTACATTGATATTAGTTATTACTTAGAATCACATCTTACAACTATACTCTTGATTCTTTCCATAAAACACTGATTTTTAAGGGTTACTTACAGGTAATGCATGGATTTTAGTTTAATATGTAACAATGTCTGTATATTTAGGTCCTAAAATAAATTTTTCTGTCTATATCCTTTCCTCTTTTATTACTACAGAGTGAAGACCCATAGGAGGAAATGGGAACAAGGAAAGTCCAGGGCCCCAAGCAGTTAGGGAGAGATATTGAAGCCTCTCTGGAGGGAATAATAATAGATGTAAACTAAAGAGAGAGAAAGAAGCTCACTAAAATCCATAGGAAAAAATGTTTTTCAAATTGAACTGCCATTCAGCATATTCAGATTTAAGCAATAATCTCAATGACTTGCATGAAATAAAACTGAAAAATAGATGAGCGTCCCACCCAAGTTGACCTGAATGTCCTCTGTTAAAACTCTCCTCTTGGGGTTAAAGTTTCTTTATTAACTGTAAAAATAACTAAAATATACTTTATGTATTCTGATACTTCTGCTTTAACGATAACCCTAAAACCTAGTATTAAAAAATTATTTAATAAGGTAAAAAAATTCAGATGTTTTTGTCTCATTTAAATCTCAGTGTAATAGGAATGCATTTTCATCATGTCAAATCACCACATTTTGGAACAGCAAGCTGACAACTTCAAGAAAGATCTTTTAAATTTCTTTTTATTGTTTTGATACTTAAAATATAGTGATAAAATTCTCAGACTTAAAACATGTTTGCAAACACTTCAAGATTTAAAAGAAAATAGACTTCCAAAATCAAAATTTAGTAAACCAAGAGAGTAAATTTTAAACCACTCTTGTAGAAGAGCTCATGAGAATGTGGTGAGGAACTCCATGCCCACTGTACCAGAAGTGCCAGCTAGTAACAACTGTAATGGTTCCTAAATAAATTAACAAGCTAACAAGAGAGCTGTCATATAATTAGCTATTCTATTCCGTGGTATATATCCGAAGGAGACGACATAAGCATGGAGAACAGACATCTGTGTTCTCGTGTTCATTGCCGCATTATTCGCTGTAGTCAAGACAGGGAGACAATTTTTGAGTTACTTAAACAATGAGTGGATAAAAACATGTAGTACATACACATGAAGGAAAAGTGTTGTGTATCTAAAAAAAAGGATAGATTCCTGTCATTTAGTACTACACTGATAGAAAAGGAAATCGTTAAGTGAAATAAACAAAGCATAGAAAGACAAGCACCACATAAGTTTATTTGTACATATAATCTAAAAGCTGAATGGAGAATGATCGTCACCAGCGGCTGGCAATGTAAGTCAGCAAGAATTGGGGAAATGTTGATCCATGTTACCGTGTTTCAATCAGATAAGAGCAAGATGTTCTTGTGTGCTATTACACAGCAGAGTGACTTGGGGTAAAATTTACAGTATTTTTCAAAAAAGTTAGAAGAAAGAAGTTTTGAAACTTTCATCATAGACTTATTGCAAACTTTAGGTAAGATGTACAAATATGCATTCTATATATCAAGTAGATATAAGCTTTTAAAGGCCTACAGATGTTGTCTCAGGGAAAAAGACACAATTATATTTAAGAAGTATTGTGTTCAGTTCACAGTACTGGATAAGGAAAATCATTCATTCGTATTATACAATAAAACTCACTGTTTCTAATTTTACTTATTGTATATTATGCAACTTAACACAGCCATCTCTCTCCGGCCATTCCTCTTTATGTATAAGCTTTCTTATTTTGCATCTTATATTATGGTGAGTTTGGAGCTTGACTCTTATGTTGTACCATAGGCCTACCAAGGATGGTAAAGCTGGTGTTCTCCCATTCTTCACAGCACAGGGCACATTTTCCTTCTATGTCTGATGTTCCAAAATGCTTACTCAAAATTAGAGAATGTTAACTGGCTTAAGAGTTTAGGAAGTTGTCTTTGTTTGTTTGTTTTGTTTTTTTTGTATGGAAGCATCAATAATGAACCTGGATTTTATCTTGCTGGAAAAAATGCATAACACTAAATACAGAACATTGCTAATTTGTTTGCCATTAGTTGAGGTGATTTATTTTTTCCCAGGGCTGCTATTTGTTGGTAGTAAAATAAAAAGTAAAAAAGTTCGTTTACACAGGTTTCATTCAAATAATACTTTGAAAAATTTGGCAATAAAATAGTAGATCATGTTCTTTTAAGTAGATATATATATTTAAGTAAATATGCATATATATATTTAAGTACATATATATTTAAGTAAATACATATATTTGAGTAAAAATATATATACTTATATATGTATACATGTATATATACATATACACACATACATACATATATATATGTGTATATATATAAATGGTTGGTATCATAGGCCAGAATCTAAAAGAACTTGTTTGATGGGTGGCTACTCAATAGGACTAGTTGTGCACGTAGAGAACTTAGTCAGCCACAAAAATGTGTCTCTACAGAAATACCTGCTAATCAGCAAAATGATTTCCCTTTTCCTGACAAAAACAAGGTATTTCTTTAAGAAAAGTGATCACAGTAGCAAAGTCATGAGAAAAGGAAATGTTCCCTCTTAGATTTTATAGTTGTGCAGACAGAACATGCTAGCTAAGTAGCAGCACTCAGGGAATGAGGAGGCTGTGCAACAGAATTGAATATGCCCCTGTCAGAGATTCTAAAAATATTTCTTCCACTCCAAAAATGAAAGGTTTGTGAGTTTGGTTTAGCTTTGAGTATTTGGTCAAAATGCTGTTGCATATGCTATAGACGACCTTGGAATTCTAGCAGTGAGTCAGTGGAAAGGATACATCTAATTTCAAAGGTTCTTACCTGAAAAGCAAACTTTCATGAGTAGGTTAAGGACAGTCTGCATGTATGTTCATTTGGAGACACTAGTACTATGGCATATCCAAATTTGAGAATTGGTGGGTGTGGTGGTGCATGCTTTTAAAGCAGTTCTGGGGAGGCAGACCCCTGCACATCTCTGTGAGCTCCAGGCCAGCCTAGGCTACATTCCTCACCTTGGTTAAAAAAAATGAGACTAGTAAATGAAACCAGTCATCTATGAAAGTGTCACAAATGATATGCATTACATTAGCAAATGTTCCAACAAGTATTACATCCTTCTTTCCTAAAGTTGGAGCGGGGGGGGGGGGGGGGGGGGGGGGGGGGGGGGCGGGAATCCTGAATATTTCTAGTTCTGTTTGATGACAACTCAGTGTTACTGAGAGTTAGTATATTGTGAAAAAATGTTTATCATTTGGGAACACCATTTTTGTTTGTTTTCTTTTGTTAATTTGA